TACACCCGGGGCACCCAGGAAGACCTCAGTAAGTAAGCACTTGTAAATTTGAATGGAATTCACACTAGTAAGATTCTACCAGAATCATAGAATGTTACAGCAGGAAGGGTCCTTAGAAGTGAGCTAGGCCAAGTCCCTTATTTTACATTTTGGAAACCATGGCGCGGAGAAGAGCCCCTACAAGTAGGCCTGGAAGTCAGCTTTACTTCTAGCAATGTCCCTAAGACCTCAAGCAGGAAGCCAGACGAGGTAAATGAGTGTGAAAATAATAATGACAGCAATACAGTCCTGCAGTGTTTTATGTAAACAGGATTATTTACATGTGTTACCTCACCAAACCCTCACAGTAAACCTATGGTCCTTTCTAGCTTTTGAGCCTGTGGTTCTAAGATAAGGAGGACAAACATTATTATTCCCATTTTGTGGGTGAGAAGAATGAGGTTCAGGGAAGAAAGGGGTATTTTATGAAGTCTAACAGCTGGTAGATGACGGAACCAGGACTCAGACTTTTTAAAACTGCCGAATTAGAATGAAATCAGAACATCAACATAACAGATGCAGCCTGTTTCAGTTTAGGGGACAGCTTTAGCTATTGGGAGGTTTTGTCTGTCTTCCTTTAAGCTTTCACCTAATTCTGCCCTTCATGGCCACCAGAACAATTCTAATAATGCCCCATCCCTACAACAGCTCTTTAGATATGTCTATAGCCAACATCCTCCCTCACCCCACCCCAGGCTTCTCTTCCCCAAAATCAACATCCCAACTCTTCCAAACCATCCCCATATGTCATAACTTTAAATTACTTGTTTTATTTTTCTTCAAATAACTTTAGCCTGTATTCACTCTATCAGTCATTTATTCGTTCGTCATAAATAAAAACCATTGGATCTGGACTCAGAGAGACCTGAATTTGAACCCTGACTCTGCCTCTCATTAACTGTGTGACCTTGAGAAGAGGCTCCCCCTTTTGATCCTTATTTTCTACTTCCATAAAACAGGGACATAAGAAGGAAGTTTTGTGAACTATGAATGTGCTGCAGAAGTGTCCCCTCATTAGAACTGGCAAAAAGAATGCTAGATCTTGTAGTCATAGCAGCTGGGTTCAAACTTTCTCTGCCTTTCACAACCTATATATCCTTGAGCAGGCTCAGTTTCCTCATTTGTCAAGTGAGGAGGTACCTTTCAGCTAGCTCCAAGTCTGTGATCCTATGATTCTTTGACTTATTAAGCACCTTCTGTGTATACAGTTTTGTGCTAGTTATTGAGGCAGATACAAAAGATAAACAAAATCCCTGACTTCATGTTCATTGATACAGGAATAGACAGATAGAACTGTGGACAAAAATCTAGTGTAAGTGCAGAAGAGCTGCGCAAAATGCTATTCAGGCTGATGAGAGAGAGATTATTTCTACCTGGGGGCATCAGGGAAGACTTCAGAAAGGAGGTGGCACATAAACTGGGCATTGGAAGGTGGTTTTATTTTTATAAATTTTATAATTTATTTTTATGCTCACCCAAATTATTACTCCAATAATGGTAATAATTAAAAATGACTGATGAAGGCAGTGGACCAACTCTAATCCTTTGATTTTTCCCATCAGAATAATATACATTATAATAATAGCACTTTTCTATACCTCTTTAAGGTTCACAAAATATTTTCTTCAAAACTCTTTGAGACTGGTGTATACAAATTATGATTCCCATTTTACATACGAAGAAACTGATGACCAGAAAAGTCCAATTACACATCCAGGTATCTGCTCTGTGCCAGGCACTGTTCTAATACAAATAAAGGGATACAAATAAAGACAAAAACAACCCTTACCCATTAGCACACAGCTGGTAAGTGCCCAAACCAAGTCATCCACAAATCCAATGCTCGTTTCATTACGCAAGTGCTAAGCTTCATAGTGCCAAGGGAGTTAGGATGGGAGAGGAACAAAAGCAAAGCCAATCTTAGGGGAAAAAATGTGGTTTTCTGAAGGTGCCTGGCCTGGTCTGGCCATCAGGATGCCCGCCTGTAGTCCTGCATAGCTCTACCAATGACTAGCTGTGGGAGGTTAGCAGATACCTTCTTTTCTCTGGGTTTCTGTTCCCTCTTCTATAAAATGAGCAAGGAGAAAGGTCAGAACAGATGATCTCTAAGCCACAGCCAGCTGTAACGTTCAGTAATTTTCTGTTCTGTGGTCCCTGCCAGTGCCAATATTCTAAATTGTCTTTTCTAAGCACCACCCTCCCCCCCACTCCCTCATTCTACAGTTCATTTAGTATATCTTCTAAGGAAGGAATCCAAACCCAGACCAGTCATACTGCATATTTTCTCCTCTAATTTGGTCAGCTAACATTTATAAAGTGCCTACTCTGCGCCAGGTATTCTGTTAAGTGCCAAAGATACAAGAAAGGCAAAAACAGTTCACTCCCTTAAGGAGCTCGCAATCTAACATGGGAGACAACATGTGAATGGCTGTGTATAAACAAGATAAATACAAACAGAGGGAAAATACTAGCATTAATGGGAATGGGTAAAGGCTCCTAACAGAAGGTGGCAGTCTAACGGAGACTCAGCACAAGCCAGGGAAACCAGGAAGAGGAGGGAGTCCAGGCTTGAGGGACAGCCAGTGAAAATGCTACTGGTCAGATAATCATTCCAGATCCTTACCCAAAGCAGAGACCACTGGCTGCCAAGAATAGCGATTGTAGAAAGTCTCAGGGATTTCACCAGGTGTCCTTTTAACTTTCTACCCTCCTGTGGTCCTTTATAGGGTATTGCATATTAATAATCTCTGTAATATGTTTTCTGTAGAGTACTTTTTAGAAATCTGGTTGATATAAAATTTTAAAGAAGGCCTATCTGTTTGAACTCCAGTGCTCAGATGATTCATTCATTCAGCAAATATTGACGTGCTGCCTACTGTGAAAAGGGTTTGCCACTACCTTCAGAGTGAGATGCAGAGGTAGATAAAACTGGGTCCCTGCTCTCAAGGAGCTTATTAATAGCGTATGGAAATAACACAGGAACACCTAGAGCTAAAATACAAATCAGAACATGGTAAGGTTCACAAAGCAGGTGTCAAGTAATGGAGTCATAGAATGTTAAGGCTAGGAGGGTCCTGTTCCACCTTTTTTTCACAGATCAGGAAATGAAGGCCAGAGTGATGCAGCAGCTTACCTGGGGTTACAATGTGAGTTAATGGCAAAGCTGGGATTAGAATCTGTGCTGGAATCCTGACTCCTAACCAACATTCAAGAGATTAGTGTATTTCCTACATACCTTTGTTCTGGGTTTTGCTTTGGAAATTGGACTTAATGTTAACATAAGTGCGGGAGCAGCTAAGTGGTGCCATAGCACACAGAGCACTGATCCTAGAGTCAGAAAGACTTCTTCCTGAGTTCAAATGCAGCCTCAGACACCTACTAGCTGTGTGACCCTGGGCAAGTCACTTAACCCTGTTTGCCTCAGTTTCCTTATCTATAAAATGAGGTGGAGAAGGAAATGATAAACCACTCCAGTATCTTTGCCAAGAAATCCCTAAAATGGGATCAAGAAGAGTCAGACATGACTGAACAATAACAACAAAAGAACCTTTTGGAACAGTAGTTTGTAAGACTGGTTGTATACCAAGGAACTGACTGGATGCTGGCTTCCAAGGACACAGTGTCCATGTACAAACTATGAAACAGGATGAAAGCATTCATTTCCTGGATAGAAGGTTCAAGGGAGACTCTGTAGAGAGGGTGGCATTTGAGACTACTTATCTGAGACAGATTCCAAGTCTCCTCCTCACTAGCCCACTTACAATTTCAGGAACCAGATCAGCCTGGGAATTAACCTTTTTAAAAATCTAGTTGATATAAAATCTTTAAAGCAGCCCTATTTGACCACTGAGAGAGTTAAAAAAGATTACAGCTTTTGGAGTGACAGCCATGGGGCAAGGAGGCAAAGCCCATTCCTGTACCAAAACTCATCCCGAATCAGCACAAGGGGAGACACTTTGAGTCTGTATGGGCTTGAGCTTCCAAGCATCTCTGGCTTAGCAGGCGATGTGGAATCAGTACCAAGGACACAGACCAAGAGCTTCCATTCTAACCATAGAGAAGGAGTGAGTGCATCTGAACCTATTTATTTACTGGCCAAGAACATATACACAAGGAAACATAGACCTCTCTCTGGCCAGTGCTCTTGGGCAAGTCGCTTTAACTTTGGACATCATTCTTCTCATCTGTGAAGTGGGGATAAAAGCACGTGAACTCTGCTTGATAGTGTTATCATGGAGAAGGCACTGTATAAACCCAAGGCACTATGTAGATGTGAGTTGTCTCTGCTTTTATCTTTGTTGTTAGCAAGCGTAGGATATTATATTTTATGGTGTGCGTAGCCATTCTCGCAGAAGTTCTGGGAAGATGTGTGCAGGGCTTTGGTTCTGAACAGAGTCATAGCATGGAAATAATCCCCAAAAACAGCATGGTTGAGTGGAAGAAGTGTTGCCACACAATCAGTATCGTAGAATTTAGGACTGGAAGGGTCCTTAGAGAACTGTCAGCCATAGGGTCAAAAGCTAGAAAGGATCTTAGGAATCTTCTAATAGACTCTGACATTTTTTCAGATGGGGAAACTGAGGCCCAAGGGAGTTAAGTGGTTTACCACAAGGTAGTAAGTAACAGAACAGGATTTAGAGTCCAAGACTCTGAACTCCAAACCTAGTGTTCTTTCCACTACCCCACACCTTTGTGTACACCCTAGCTGTGTGACCAGGAACCAATCCCTTGACCTCTCTGAACCTTAATTTTCCTTACATATAAAATGTAAGTGATAACACTTACATTCCTGTGAGGAAAGCATTTTGGAAATTACAACACATTATTGCAGTGTAAGCTGTAGGGTTGGGGGAAAGAGTTTCTCATACCAGGGTGATTGATCGATGTTGTTTCTTAAATCATGCTTCTTTTTTGCATGTCCCAAAATAGCCACCTCTGAACCTTGATCTTTTGCTTTGCAGAAGGCTGTCCTGGTTTGTGCAACGGGAATGGCAGGTGTACCCTGGACCTGAACGGATGGCACTGCGTCTGTCAGCTGGGCTGGAGAGGCGCGGGCTGCGACACCTCCATGGAAACCGCGTGTGGCGATAGCAAGGACAATGATGGAGGTACGCATCTGGGACCCTTAGCTAGAGGGGCAAATAACCGCTTAGGGACTATGCCCAGGGTCAGCTCTTTAGCCAGAAGATGCTGGACCTTTGGTGTTGATTCAGTGAAGAGACTCCAGCTCCAACTGACTAGCTACAGTGTCTTTTAATGAAGCTCTGGACAGAGTGTAAAAAGACCAGGATTAAATAGTTTGTGGTTAATTAGTTATATGACCTTGGCAAACCATATAGCATAACAAAAATCGTAACAATGTCAGCAACAGTAATAGCAGGCATTTATATGGTGCTTGGGGGTCGAAAAAGCACTTTGCAAACATTAGTTAATTATCTTTGGATTTTTGCTGCCTTTAGTAAGAGAGTGGGAATAGATGGTTGCTAATGTCCTTTTTAGTTCCACCATTCTTTGTTCTTATAGACTATGTTATGACATTCTCTTGCATCTCTAATATTCTCTATTCTAAGATTCCTTCTGACTCTAATATTCTTTGTTCTAAAGGCCCTTCCATACCAAGCGTTCTGTGTTCTAAGGTGCCTTCCGATTCTATCCTGTTATATTCTGGCTTCTAACCTTGTCCCTTTTAAAGATGTTTCCAGTTCAAATGTTTAAGATTCTGATCCTTAGTTATCTACAAAATTACCTGGATCATGGTATTCCCTAAGTCTCACCTCTTAGCAGATAGGGGTTATGCTACATTGCTTTATCTTCCTCATGATGTAATAATAATGAAAGAAAATAGTTAAGAAAATGTTTTAGGAGGTAAATTACTAAAACTGTGATAGTATTATTATTATAGTGTTATTATCCAATTGGTTTAATTTGATCCATGTCCTGCAGGTACTTAAGGTATGAAATTCTATGGCATTTTTGAGTCACAGATTTTTAATACCAAGAGTATATTGTCCATTATCTTACAGTATCAAGTGACTGAGAACTGAGGGAATGATCAGACAATGAGGGTTGAAAGAGAATTTAGAGTCATTTAATGCAAATCATTCTCACCACAGCACTTAAGTCAGTCATTAAGCATTTATTAAGCACCTTCTATGTGCCAAGCACTATGCTAAGGGCTGAGGATGCAAAAAGAGGCAAAAGACAGTGCAGACAGTGTAGTCAAGGAGTTCACGGTCTGATGAGGGAGACAAGAGACAAATATGGACAAACAAGCTATATACAGGATAAAGAGGGAACAATTAATAGAGGGAAGGCGCTAAAATTGAGAGGGGTTGGGGAAGGCTTCCTTAGAAGGTGGGATTTAAAGGAAGCCGGTCGGTGGAGATAAGAAGACAAGAGAGACAGAGATAATGTCCAGAGCTGAGAAATGGAGTGTCATGTTTGCGGAGCAGCCACGAGGCCCGTGTCATAGGATGGATGAGTACTTGGAGGGAGTGATATGTAAGACTGGAAAGGTAGGAGGGATTGAGGTTATGGAGGGCTTTGAATGCCGGAGGATTTTGTATGTGGTCCTAAAGGCAATGAGGATCCACTGGAATTTAGTGAGTAGGGGGTGACGTATCTCATCTGTGCTTTAGGAAAGTCGCTTTGGCAACTGAGTGGAGACTGACTTAGAGTGAGGAAAGCTGAGGCAGGGAGACCCTGCAGCAGGCTACTGCAGTAGTCCAAGAAGGAGGTGGTGAGGGCCTGCACCAGAGGAATGGCATGGTCAGAGGAAGGGGACAGATTTGAGAGATGGTGAAATCTGTAGACCTTGGCAACAGATTAGATATGGGAGGTGAGACATAGGGAGGAGTGAGGATGATACCTAGGTTGTGAGCCGGGGGGCATTGTGGGAAGGTGTTGGTGCCCTGGAAGTTAGGAAAGGAGGAGGGTTTAGGGAGAAAGATGATGAGTTCAGTCTGGTCGTGTTGAGTTTAAAATGTCTACCGGACATCCAGTGTGACATGTCTGAAAGGTCATCAGAGATGCAAGACTACAGATCAGCAGATGGGTTAGGGCAGTACGAGTGGATTTGAGAATCATTAGCATAGAGATGGTGATTAAATCTTTGGAAGCTGGTAAGATCACCAAATGAAGTAGCAAAGAAGATGAGAAGGTGGCCCAGGACAGAACCCTGACAGACCCCTATGATGTCCTACAATAGCCCCAACAAATTATAGCCAACGTCTTCTTGAACCTATCCAAGCATGGGGATCTCACTCCTTCCTGTGGCAGCCCATTTAGGGACAGGTCTGATTTTTAAGAAGTTCTTTCATTGACCTAGAATTAGCCTGCTTGCCATTTCTACTCATTGTCCCTAGTTAGGCTTACCTGAGCCAAGCAGAATAAGTCTAATCTTTCTTCCCCTTCGGCTACTTAGAGACCACTGTTATATCCATAAGCCCCTTCTTCTTCGGACTAGGCATTTCTAGTTTCTTCAGCTCATCCTTCTGTAGCATGATTTAAAGTTCCCTCACCATCCTTACCACCCTTCTCTGAGCAGGCCCCACCTTGTCAGTATCTGTCTTAAAATATGGTGCCCAGAATAGAACATGATCCCACAAATGGGCAGTGGTCAGTGGCAGAGGCCAGTGGAACTGTCACTTCCCTTACTTTGGACCTTGGACTGTTAGGGTCAGTTCAAGAGGTAGTAAGTCTTGAGAGAACAGCAATGCCGTTTGTTATCCTTTCAAACAGAAGAGGCCTAATAACCCCCATTCTGAAACTCCAAGTAGCCAAGAGAAGAATGTGAGTGTGAACCATGACTCTGGGCCATATTAACCAGATAATGTTGATCTTCGCCATAGGTAGCCAACTAATTTGGGTAATTCAGTCCTCTCCATATCGCCCCAGTTATCTAGATCAATATTGTCAAACTCAAATAAAATGCATGCCTAGGACAGCATATTGACTTAGAAAACTATAAATTCACATTATCTGCATTGTGTGGTATTTTTATTTATTTTATTAAACATTTCCCAATTCCGTTTTCATCTGGTTCAGGCTGACTCTGATCTAGAAAGGGTCCTCAGTTAAACTCTGCCCAATCACCTGTCTGCTTCACTTTGTCTCTGATTGGAAGCACAGCTTCTGAGTGATGATCAGTAAGTAGGTAGATAGGGTGGTATGTACATAGCACCCTAGCCTTAGGCTTATGAGACATGATTTGGAAACTTGGCTCTGCTGCTTAAGAGTTATGTGACCTTGGGGCAGCTAGGTGGCACAGTGGATAAGAGCACCGGCCCTGGATTCAGGAGGACCTGAGTTCAAATCCGTCCTCAGACACATAACACTTACTGGCTGCGTGACCCTGGGCAAGTCACTTGACCCCATTGCCTAGCCTAAATAAATAAATAAATAAAATTTTTAAAAAAGAGATTTGTGTGACCTCAAACATGTTTCCTCATCTGTAAAATGGAAGCAGGAGTATTTATAATATCTGCCTCCAAGACTGGCATGGGAAGAGGACTCTTCAAGCCTTAAACATCTGCAAAAAAGTGAGGGTTTTTTTTTTTATTAAAAGAGAATCAGCGTAGTATTTTGAAAATAGCTCTGGACTCAGACTTAGAAAGACTCAGTGCATGGCTCAGTTTTGACATTTTCCTGTGGCATCTCAGGCAAGTTGCTTTAACCATCTTGAGCCTCAGTCTCTCCATCTGCAAAATGGAAATAACATGTATTACCACTTCCTTCCACAAGTTATTGTGAAGAAAGTGCTTGTGGACAATAAACCAGTGGACAGAGTATGGAGCTTGCCGTCGGGAAAATGCGGGTGACCCTGGGAAAGTCACTTCACTTGTTTCCACCCCATTAAGCCAGATGTTTAGTAAGCATTTATGAAATACTTGCACTGTGCTAAACACTGGGATTACAAAGAAAGGGAAAGACACTGTCTCTCTTTTAGCGGACTGACTTTATAATAGGGGACATTGCATGCAAACCACATGAAATATATATACAGAGTAGATGGAAGGCAGTCTCAGAGGGGAAAGCGCTAGGTGGGAGAGAGAGGGTGATGACAGCTAGGAAAGGCCTCCTGCAGAATGTTGGGTTTTAGCCTCAGTTTTCTTCCTCTGTAAAATGGGAGTAATAAAAATACCTACCTCATAGTTGTTGTGAGGGTAAAATGAGGTAATATGTAAAGTGCTACATAGATGTTTGCTATTATTATTATAACTAATGAAAGCAGTCGTGTCATTCACTCTAGTAGGACTCTAAATTGCCTAAAAATATTCTAGACTGAGGGGAAGTAAACCCTATCCTGCCATGTGAGTCTTCACTCCCCAGGTTCCCAGGTCTTTTCTCTGAAGCCTTAAGCAAGCTGTTTCACATCTGGAGAAGCAAATGGAGCCAAATGATCTGAATAAATATAGGGAAAGCACAGCTTCTACCCCTCCTCCCTGCCAGGCCAAGAGCATAAGTCATGAAACAAAGGTCATTCGTTCCCATGCATGAAACCAGATACCAGTTTATTCATCTTCTTTTTTTTCCCCACTATTTACAGCTGACAGTGACAGTAATAACAGTTACTACGGCAGGGGGTTGGGGGGGGAGTGGTAAACCCATTCAGTCCTAAAATCTCAAAGCTCCTATGGGAAAGGGCGACCCCCCCCACCTTAGAGGAAGGGTCTGATCCAGGCCCCAGGCAACTGGACACAGTCAACACGACAGAGATCCAGCTGCTGAAACAGTGGAAGCAGCATGGTTCGGGAGAAGACCGCCACCACCACTACCCCCTACCAGAAAATTCACCATTCTGGATATGGCTAACTTGTGGGAAAGGGATTTCAGTCATATCTGACTCTTTGTGACCCCTTTAGGGTTTTCTTGGCAAAGGTACTGGAGTGGTTTGCCATTTCCTTCTCCGGCTCATTTTATAGAAGAGGAAACTGAGATAAATAGGGTTGTGACTTGCCCAAGGTCACACAGCTAGTGAGCTGTGTGATTTGAACTCAAATCTTCCTGATTTTAGGCCCAGGGCTCTAACCACTGGCTGCCCCATGTTGGTGGAAATACCTACGATCTAATCTTCAGAGGAAGGCTCTTAGCCATTTAGATTATTGGA